TTAAATTTTTGTCCTTGAAATATTTCCGGGGCAATAAAAGGAATGACTCCATAATACTCATTAACATTATCTGACGATTCAGTTGATAATTTACTAATTCCTAAATCACTTATTACTATGTCATTTTCATTTTCATAAAGAATATTTCCACTATGAAAATCTTGATGAAGAATATCTTGGGAGTGAAGGTATTCGAGTCCGTGTATAATATGACACAATATTTTCAACTTTTTATTCCATTTAACATTATAAAAGTTTTTCGCGATGTGATGTTTTAAATCAGATTTATAATATTTCATAATTATTATAAAATCTTTTGTAACCGGATCTTGAGTAATTCCATAATATCTATTTAAGAAATATAAAGAATATATAAATCCATCATTTAAATCAGCATTATAAATCATCATAATCTGAATTTATAAAGTGTATATACAGTATATATTTTAATATAGATTTTAATATTAAAAAAGAAGATATATATTAATATTAAATTGAATTACCTCATTTAGTTCCTTAGAAGTAATACTTTTGGAATTATTAAGTTGTTTTAAAGCAACTATTATATTAGGTTCTATATATTCAAAATCATTTTTATCTTCATTCCAATAAGGAGGACCGTTACTCCAAATAGCTTTATAAACTTTACTAAATCCTCCTTCACCGACCTTTTCTATATTTTTAAATTGATGATATGGAATGAACTTCATTCTGCTTGATTCTTGAGCAAAATTAATTTGTGTAAACTTAATAAATTCATCAATTATTTTGTTTCCGCTTGGTTTATATAATTTACATAACAATTTAGCTTGATAACAAATTACGCAAATCCCATCATTTTCTTTTAAAGATCTTCTTTTCTTATGACAGTTATCACATATATTATAAATCTCTTTTTCTGGTTCATCCATAAATCCCGTTATTGGTACAAGTTTAGATATTTGTGGTATTGGTTGAAAATCTACTTTATTATCATTATTTACCGATTGTTGAAACCAATAAATAGCCATTTTTAAATTCATTTCAATTCCTTTGCCTTCATAATATAATAATGCAAGGTTATATTGTGCATTACTATTTCCATTTTCTGCTGCTTTTTGATACCAATAAAATGCCATTTCTAAATTTTTTTTTATTTCTTTACTATTATAATATAATAATGCAAGATTATATTGTGCTTTACAATTTTCATTTTCGGCTGCTTTTTGATACCAATAAAAAGCCTTTTCTAAATATTCTACACTTTCTTCATTTTTTTTGATATAATAATGCAAGGTTATATTATGCATACATATTTTCATTTTCTGCTGTTTTTTGATACCAATAAATAGCTTTTACTAAATTATCTTCTATTTCTTTATTATTTTCATATAATACTGCAAGATTATATTGTGCATTAATATTTCCATTTTCAGCGGCTTTTTGATACCAATAAAAGGCCTTTTCTAAGCTTTCTTCAGTTTCATCATGATCATAATATAATAATGCAAGTTTATATTGTGAATCTTTATTATTACTTTCTGCTGATTTTAGATACCAATAAAAAGCTTTTTTCAAATTCATTTCTGTTCCCTTACCCTCATAATATAATGATGCAAGTTTATTTTGTGCATTAATATTTTCATTTTCTGCAGATTTCTGATACCAATAAAAGGCTCTTTCTAAGTTTTCTTCTATTTCTTCATTATTTTCATATAATAATGCAAGATTATATTGTGCATCTTTATTATTATTTTTTGCTGACTTTAAATACCAATAAAAGGCTTTCTTTAAACTCTTTTCCATTTTTTTATTTTGTTCATATAATAATACAAGATTAAATTGTGCATTAATATTTCCATTTTCTGCAGCTTTCTGATACCAATAAAAGGCCTTTTCTAAACTCTCTTCTGTTCTATTACTATCATAATATAATAATGCAAGATTATATTGTGCATCTTTATCATTACTTTCTGCTGATTTTAAATACCAATAAAATGATTTTTCTAAATTTATTTCTGTTCCCTTGCCCTCATAATATAATGATGCAAGTTTATTTTGTGCATTAATATTTTCATTTTCTGCAGCTTTTTGATACCAATAAATGCTTTTTCTAAATTATTTACTATTTCATTACTTTTTTCATATAATATTGCAAGATTATATTGTGCATCAATATTATCATTTTTTGCTGCTTTTTGATACCAATAAAGTGCTCTTTTCAAATTTTTTACTGTTCCTTCACCTTTATAATATAATAATGCAAGGTTATTTTGTGCATTAATATTTCCATTTTTTGCTGCTTTTTGATACCAATATAAGGCTTTTTCTAAACTCATTTCCATTTCTTTATTTTGTTCATACAATAATGCAAGATTATATTGTGCTTTAATATTTTCATTTTCTGCAGCTTTTTGATACCAATAAAAGGCTTTTTCTAAACTCTTTTCTGTTTCATCACTATCATAATATAATAATGCAAGCTTATATTGTGCATCTTTATGATTATTTTCTGCTGCTTTTTGATACCAATAAAAGGATTTATCTAAATCTTTTTCTATTCCTTTACCCTTATAATATAACGATGCAACTTTATTTTGCGCATTAATATTACCATTTTCTGCTGCTTTTTGGAACCAATAAAAAGCTTTATCTAAGCACTGTTTTGTTTCTTTACTATAATAATATAATAATGCAAGATTATATTGTGCATTTTTATCATCACTTTCTGCTGCTTTTTGATACCAATATAATGATTTTTCTAAATCTTTTACTGTTCCTTCACCCTCATAATATAATGATGCAAGATTATATTGTGCATTAACGTTTCCATTCTCTGCCGCATTTTGATACCAATAAAATGCTTTTTCTAAATTTTTTACTGTTCCTTCACCTTCATAATATAATAACGCAAGGTTATATTGTGCATTAACGTTTTGATTTTTTGCTGCTTTTCGATACCAATGAAAAGCTTTATCCAAGTTATTTTCTATTTCTTCACTACTTTCATATAATATCGCAAGATTATATTGTGCTATAATATGCCCTTTTTCGGCTGCTTTTTGGTACCAATAAAACACCTTTTCTAAATTTGTTTCCGTTCCTTCTTTATCATTATAAAATAATATCGCAAGTTCATATTGTGCGCTAATATTTCCACTTTCTGCTGCTTTTTGACACCAATAAAACGCTAATTTATCACTGACTTTAGTTCCGAATCCTTCATTGTAACATCTACTTAAAAATACTTGTGCGATAGGATAATCATCCGCCGCGTTTAAAAAGCATATAAATCCTGCACTATCATTTTCTTTTGAACCGAGTATATTATAATAAAAAAATCCAAGGAGAAAGGTATTTTTCGATTCGTTTTGATTTCCTTTAAGCCAATTCAAAATTTCATCTGTTGATCGACCAGAAAGAGTAACGCATTTGTTCAAAAATTGCTTTGTTTCAGAAAAATCTTTACCTTCATCTTGTATTTTATTCAGGATCATGAGTAGTTTATCAACCAAAATATTAATATTATCTGTTGAATTGATCACTTGTGACATATGTAGGTCGCACTCGTGTTTTGTTTCTGATTTTGACATGTTTCATGACAAAGAAATTTTTTTTTTAAAAAAAAAAAAAAAAACTTAAAAAAAAAGTTTTCTCAATTCTCGATAAGCAATGATTTTTATTTATTTTATTTTGTAAATTTTTGAAAAAATTCGTTTAATCCGAATATACCAAGAGTTCCATTGCTATCAGGTTTGTGAAATAGAAAGTAATGTTTGCAATTTACAATTTAAAATTTTATTTTTAACGGGTTTTCTTCCGAAAATATTTTCTTAAAATGGTTTCAATGAATTCTAAAGAAGTTTCGGTTGTGATACACATTACTAAATCTAGTTAGCTTTTAAGTAATTTTTGGTTTGCATATTGCTCCAACCTTCATCTTTACTTTTCTGCGGCATCCTTGGACCCTTAGGGATGATTTTCTGTCATAAAAATTTCATTATTACGTAATATCACAACAAATAAATTCACATACACATAACTTAAAAGGAATATTTATCATAAGTGAGACGCCGCTAGTAATTTTCCTTTTATTAAATAACAAATTGAATCCCAAACCTGAGTTTAAGACCATATCAAACAATATTTAAATTAACTGGACAGGCAATATCTCTTTTTGATGAAAGTAAAATTACATAATAATACATTTACTTATGCAAGGTTATTTACAGAAAGCTAAAGTACAATTGCGACTAAGATAATAAATAAAACATCTATAATATATTATTTATTGCACTAACTTAGACTTCATATGGTATAAAAAAATTAAATGTGTGAATCAGAATGCGCCAAATTTTTTCTTTTGTTATCTGTTATCCTAAATAATTTTCTGCGCAAAAAGGCAAAGAAACTTGATAACAAATAGACAATAAATCTGGTTTTTAATTTTTAGACATTTGTTATGTTATAAAATTAAAAAAGAATTATTTAATTTTATAATGGTTCTTGTGTTAGTTGTTTACCGTTAGGTGTAATAATGCAGGAAAACTTACTTTTCATATATTAAAAATTCAATAGTATTGGTATTGTAAAAAGTGATAATATTAAATGAATCAGGTATTCATATTTCAAATATGTAATGCAATGTTAGACAATTGCGAACAACTTTAGCTATTATATTACTTTAGATGAAAAGGCATTAACATTCAATCATTCAATATGTATGATCCATCGTAAACAAAAAAGAATTTTGTTAAGATTATAAACGCTACATACAGTTCTAAACATTAATTGACGCAGTTGCATCAGCAGGATAACCTCGTAAGACCAACTTTATATCAACCTTATTAGGCCGTTGGATGATAACAGTGCTGAAATCATCCACATAACAAACATGTCAACCTTTTTAGAAAATTGATAATTGCCCAGCATTTGAGAGGTATTGAATAGTATTTGCCATGTCTTGACTTTCGCGCAAGTTTTCTACTCCCCAATGATGATTTCCGTTGATGTAATAATCTATGAATCCAGACGAGCCCAAAACTGGGCCAACGTCAGGGTTAATCATAGTTCATTTCATTGAGCTCTATACCATTCATTTTGCCATTATCTTTCTATTAGTTATACTACGACTCAATGAATTGTAGATGACAGGATCATAAATATAAAAGTCGTTTGGTGATCGTGCAAGCTTTAAAGGAGTAATGTAGAAAAGTTGACCTAGAACAATTCGAACTATTTGAACTATTTGGAGCAGCAAACTGCAATTTTGAATCAACCATGCTATTTGCTTTGGGTGACTAAGCCAGATAGTGGGAACAATTGTATTCATGGTGAAGACTATGTATGTCTAACAAGACCAGGATGCCCACACCCACAGGATTTGGAAAAACTTAGTCAAGGTAAAGTCGCTGGTTCTACACTGCCCTACAGTAAATTACCGGATTTTATAAATTTTACTTAGTAAAATTGAAGATCTTCAGGTTGCATAAATGTTTACTAATTTTCAATAAAAATCATCTGATTTTTTTTTATTTG